GTTGTGTAAAGTAGCAGTCTCTCCATGTCCGGATAGCCCATGGGCTCAGCTTCATATGCAGAGACTCCTTTTATCAGCAGGGTGCCTTCCCAGCATCTTCCTGACTCATCTTTGAAGTAGCCGTCACAGAAACATGGCCTCTGGCTCAGAAAATGCCAGCTTTTCCTGTGTGATTTTCAGGCACTGTCTGAAAGCCTGGCAGGAGCCCACCTCCACATGTAAATATGGCATCCACAAAGTACCTATCAGATAAGGCTTTTACCAGTACCCCCACAGTATAAGTATCCTGGTTTTCCCTCAATAAATCGGAGCTGGATCACTAAGACCTGGAGCCGAGCTGAGTCACTGAATAAAGGAGCTGTGCCTGTACCACTGACTGAGCTGAGTCCTGTGTCTTACTGCCTACGATCCAGTCTCCCCAGGGGGGTGCTATCCTTCTGTCATCGACTCATGGAAATCCAGCTTTAGCCATCCCGCACCTCTCCTCATGACCCGACAGCTGACGGGTCCCGAATTTAGAGAGAGAGTGCACGGGTGAAATTGGGGCGGAACTCGACCGGGCCAGCCCCGGTAGCAGAGACCCACAGAGACTGGAGAAGCAGGGACCCGCCAGCAACGTGGAGCAGACACGCCGCGGGACCCGCCGCTTCCCAGGTGCATGCAGGAGACCGGCGCCATGCTAGCAGCTGGCACCCCGAGATCCCCGCACGCCCATAGATGGAGACTGAGCACGTGGCCCTGACTGAGCTACACAGATGCAGGCATGAGTGAAAACATGCCAGGGCATGCTTGACTACCTGATCTCAGTCACATCTGACTTGTCCAGCTTCTGCAGCTCCAACTTGGCAGCCTCCAGGATGGGCATGACTTCGGCCAGGGTAGTCTCGGCCTCAGCCTTCTCCACCGCAATGATCTTATTTTGCTCCTCTATCTCCATGGCCTTCTCCTCTGCCATCTTCTTCTTCTCCTCCACTGTGGAGGCACAGGCTGGTCAGCTGGCCAGATGCTACAAGGTAGACCTGAGCCATGTGGGAACCTCAAAGCCACCCACAGCCATGGGGCAGTAGCCAGGGGGCTGTGGTCTATGTGCTGAATTCAAGTGTTCTTCTCAGAGGGGACCTTCTGTGCCTCTCCTGCCCACATCCCACCCACTTGGTTCCATATTGGCCCTACCCCTGCAGCCAGTGCTGGCCATATCTATCTATCTATCTATCTATCTATCTATCTATCTATTTATTTATTTATTTATTTATTTATTTATTTATATGTACATACCACAGCATGTGTTGTGGAGGTAGAGGACAACCTACAGGAGTCGATTCTCTCCTTTCTACCATGTGGGTTCCAGGATCGAACTCAGGGCATCTGGTTTGCTGGCAAGCACCTTTATCCTCTGAGCCATCTCACCAGCCCTCCTTCTCTGTCTTTCTCTCCCCATCCCACTTTCTCCCTGCCTCTCTCTGTCTCCTTATCCTCTTTCCCCTCCTCCCTTTGCTTTTCCATTCCCTTTTCTCATGATCAGGACCAGCCCCAGAGCCACCCCTCTAGGGAGCGTGGTCCCTCTGTCTCTCCTGTCTCACTGTTTCTACTGAGTGACACTATTCCTAGCCTGATTTCACTCTGTCCCCTCTGTCTGGATGCCTCTAGGTTGTGACACCTCTCACAGTTAGAATCCAACAGCAACACAGGCCTGGCTCAGAGACAGTACAAGGGCAAACAATGATCTCCCCAGACCTCATAACCACTAGAGCCTCAAGTATGACCTTATTTGGAAATTCACTAATGATGCCACACTGGCTTGGTGTGGATCCAGTCCCAGTGTCTGGTATCCTTGTGAGAAGGTCATGCCTCACACTGAATTAGTGCATTTAATTATCACAATGCATCTCACAAATATGCAAAAATAATAAAAATAAAAAAAATTCAAGATCACATGGAGACACCCAGGGAGGGTGTCTTGTGACAGTGGTGGATCTGTGAGCTGAGGCTTGCTAGGAACTGCCACTGGCTCACTCAGGCAGCCTGCCCCTGCTGGTGGCTGCTGCACTCACCTATGGCTGTGTTGGTAGCAATCTCCTCCAGCAGGGTCTCACAGGCGGCTGACTTCTCTGCTAGTACAATCTTCTGCTCTGCCAGCTTCTGATTCAGCTCATCCAGCTGGATGGTGGCCTCCTTCAGCTTGTCCAGCCCACCCTCCAAACGCTTGCACTGTGCTGGGGGACAGATAGCACAATGTCATGGCCAGATACCACTGCCCCCAAGGCCCCAGAGGAAAAATCACCACTTCTACAAGTGTCCAGCACCTGTCCTAGCTCCCAAAGTGCACAACATCTGCCAACAGGAACAGATTGCTGAAAATGGTATGTCTCTTAGCCAGAAGCTTGAGCCCTTCCTAAAAAGCCCTTTCCAACAGAGCACACTGGGATCACAGGACATCCAAGGTAGAGGAAACAAAGCTACAAGCTACATGGCCACACTGAAGATAAGGTAAGAGCATACCAGCATCCTACCCAGAGGGAAGAATCACCTTCAAGTACAAAAGCTGAATCTGCTCTGTCTTGCCCCAATCACAGGGTGGCATGTACAAGTTCCTAGGGTCCATCCCCAGCACCATTGTGATGGTTTGAATGAAAATGTCCCCCATAGGCTCCAAGTATTTGGACATTTTGTCCCCAGATGGTGGTGTGGTTTGGGGAGGTTTTAGAAAGTATGGCTATCCAGGACAAATCATGTCACTGGGGGTGGGCTTAGAGAGTTCTTAAGCCTTTCCAGATCTCCAGTTGCTCTCTTGCTTCCTGTGCCTACATGATGATGTGAGAAAATGTGGAAGACTTTGGAAGCTTGGACTAGAAAAGTGGTTGATTGCTTTAAGCAGAGCTTAACAGGCCATTCTAGTAGAGTCCTGGAAGAAAGTAGTGCTGGGAACAATGTAGTTCCAGGGGGAAATAAGGACTTAAGCAGCAATTGGGATATTTTGGCAGAGAGTCTGGCTGGAGTCTGCCCACAGCCAAAAAGTTTGCCTGAGGCTAAGTTGAAAAGCAATGGACCAATTTCTCTGGTGGAAGAAATTTCAAGACAGCCTAATGTAGAAATGGTGGCGTGGATGTTAATGGCAAATATTATACAGATCTACAGTGAAAAAGAGCAAATGGGGCAGAAAGAAATACAGTTTTGATTGAAAAAGAGCACTAGGAAGATAAATGTTGGAGCCTTGGCATGTGCTGGAGAGGATCCCTTTGATAAGGAGATTAAAGTGATTAAGGAGGGGCCTAGAGATTCGGACTTAAACAGTAGAGAGAGTGCCTCCAGGGCAAGACCACACCCAGTTAAGCCTCCAACTTGTGAAAGGAAAATGCTGCAGGGGCCACTGAAGAGAAAAGCTTCTAAAATGGATAAAGCAACTGGAGTCCATGCCAAACTTGCAGTGAAATTTGGCAGTGTCATTCACCTGGTGCTGGCTTTAGGGGCATAAAAGACAAGAGTGAAGTGGTCATCAATTCTTCCTCCACGGTTTTAGAGAGCCTTGGAGGCCAGGCAGCATGCAGCAGGGGTTCCCCTGCATAGAGAAGGCCGATAGGCCATTATGTGAAGCTGTGAAGGTGAAGCCTGGTTGGCAATGGAGACCCCAAGAAGATGTCTGTGATGCCAGAGCTGTGAGGCATCTGCCAAGAAGACCTGCACACAGGGAGTGGTACCAGCACAAGAGAGAGAAATGTGTTGCATGCAGCAAAGCTAGAGAGACTGAGCCATCTAAGCTCTTTGGAAGTAAAGTCCCAGAAGTTGGACATGGAACTACTGGATTTGGTGTTTGTCCTGCTGGTTTTTGGTCTTCTTTTGGTCTGGTATTTCCTTACTATCCCTCCATTCCTCCCTTTTGGAATGGTAATGTGTATTCAGTTTCACTGTATGTTGGGAGTATGTAATTTGTCTTTTAATTTTATAGAGGTTTACAGTTAAGATATTTACCTGAGTCTCAGAAGAGACCTTGGACTGGACTTTTAAACAGTATTGAGACTGACTGAGTAATGACTATGAATAGTACTTGAAAATGACTATGGGGACTTTTAAAGTTGGACTAAATGAATTTTATATGGTCATGAGCCTACGGGGGCCAGGAGGTAGAATGTGATGGTTTGAATGAAAATGTCCCCCATAGGCTCCAAGTATTTGGACATTTTGTCCCCAGGTGGTGGCACTGTTTTGGGAGATTTTAGAAGGTGTGGCTATCCTGGAGGAAGCATGTCACTGGGGGTGGGCTTAGAGAGTTCTTAAGCCTTGTCAGATCTCCAGTTGCTCTCTTGCTTCCTGTGCCTGTGTGATGATGTGAGAACTCCTGCTCCAACCACCTCCAGCCACCTCTGGCCACCATGGCTCCCTGCCATGACAGACTGTAATTCCCCTGGAACCGTAAGCTCAAATAAACTCTTCCTTCTATAAATTGCTTTGGTCAGTGTTTTCTATCACAGCACCAGAAAAGTGACTAATACAACCATGGAAGGAAGAAAGGAAGGAAGGGAGGGGAAGGGAAGGGAATGAGGAAGGGAGGGAGGGAGGGCAGGCACTGGCATCTGCTCTGAGACAAGCCGTGCTCATGATCCCTGTTTACATACAAACCCGCTCACACACAAACTCCACTCATGCACAAACCCTGCTCATGCATGATCCTTGCTCACACTATAATGACTTCAGCTCGCATCCTGGCCCCCACTTACCAATGTTGTACTGGGTTTTCTCATCCAGCAGTTTTGAGTATGTATTGATAAAGTCCAGGTAGTTCTTAGGTGTCACATAGTTGCTGCGCCTCAGCTTCTGCAGGAACTGCTTGCTGAACTTGCCCACTGATTGGTGGACCATAACCATGTGCTCCACCAGGTCTTCAATGTTCTCTATTGGGATCATGGGGTTATCCCCTGGATAGGAAGGAATGAAAGGGATGGTGCTTAAAACCAGGTCAGGTGTAGCTCGGTGAGAGGGTGCATCCCTATCACGTGTGAGGCTCTGGGTCGGTCCCCAGCACTGCAGAAAACAAAGAGGAGCAGTCCTAAAAAAGAAATCCAACAACTCCTAGATGTGAACCTGAAAACATTAGAAACAGCTTCCAACAGGTTCATGAAAGCCAGTGTTCACGGCAGCAGCATGGGACTGAAAGGCAGGAAGGATTCAGTTCATCTACAAATGAATGGAAGTGGTGTGGCATACCCATGCCATGGAGTGTTACTATGCCATGAAAAGGAACAAAGCACTGGCACATGCTACACCTTTATGACCCTCCAATATATAAAAAGAAAGAAGTCGGGCTGGAGAGATGGCTGGAGAGCGGTTAAGAGAGACCCAGGTTGAAGTCCCAGCACCCACATAGCAACTAACAACTGTCCATTAACTCCAGTTCCAAGGGTTCTGATACCCTCTTCTGTTCTCTGCAGTCATTGCACAACACAGGTGCACTTACATACATGTAGGCATAACACTCATACACATAAAATAAAAAATGAAATTAAATTTTTAAAAAAGAAGTCAGATGCAAAGGGACAGAGAGTGCATGGGTTTCCTTACATGAGACACAGACAAGGAAGAGCCTAGAGACAGGATGCAGGTCAGAGGTAGCCAGGACCTGGGGAAAGGTGGGTGGGAATCTGTTTGACAGGAGAGGAGTTTCAGTTTAGGATGAAGGAAAGTTCTGGAAACAGATGGCAGTGATGGTTACACTGCATTATGGGTGTGATCAATGCCCCAAGTACACTTAAGACAGACAGGATGGGAATGTTTACAGTAGAAAAATTTTACCTATTAAATAAAATGATTTTAACAAAAAATTTATAAAAGAAAGAAAAAGAGCAGCTATCACTTGTCAACAACTTTCTCTAACACACAGGCTGACCTCCTTCCCTGGAGTCAGGAAACTGTTCTTCAAGGGCTCAGGTGCCATTGGGAGGAAGTTTGGGCTTCAGGAGATGACCCTGTCACTGATCCCCAAGTGTCATTCTCCAGCCCAGCATGCAGCCCCCAACAGTGGCTAGGTGGGCATACTCAGCCATTCTGTACTGGATCCCAGTGTCCAGCAGGTACTGGATCCCAGAGTCCAGCAGGTACTGGATCCTAGTGTCCTACATGTACTGGATCCCAGTGTCTGGCACATACTGGCAGAAGGTGGCCCTTCCTAGGACTCTATCAGAAGGATTGAGGATCACTTCTGGAACCAAGATTCCATTCCTTGGATTTCCCAACATCATGAGATATAAGGGCCAGCAGAGCCTGCTGAGATTAAATGAAGGAAGGAATATAAGACCAAAGCATGTTCTGCAGATCTGACCTCGACTCATACTAAGAGTGCATCATGCCTGAAAACCTCTGCCCATAGGTGTCCACAGTTGGGGCACAGTCGCCTTAACTTCAAGAGACATAATCTAAGGGGGAAATTATAAGCAAATCACATGCAGCTTTGTGTATAGAATCAAAATGCTGACTACTGGAAGGACATGGAAATGGCTTGCACACTATGGGAGCTGGTATACCAGCCACATCAGGGCTGGCAACTGCACTCCCAAGGGAAAATGCAGCCCACTGCTTGTTTTTGTAGATAAAGTTTTATTGGAACACAGCCATAAACATTCATTTACATGTGGTCCAGGATGGCTTTCACATACAACAGCAGAATTAACAGCTGTGACAAAACCAAATATTACCATGCCAACCTTCACAGAAGCAGCTTGCCAGCTCCCAAGCTATACAACAGGACACACATGCTCTTGGCCTCTCTCCCAGGGAAATTGCATCATAGTTCCAATTATGACTTCTGCCTGCACAAAAGGACTGCTTATCTGTTTAATTTGTTGGATGCATATCTATAAGGTTGAACCTATTTACAAAGTCACTCAGTGGCATTGGTCATAAATCAAGTTAGACCTAATAAAAAGAAAAATTGGCTTGCTTTCTTATTCAGAGACTGAGATTCCTATCTAAGGTCTCAAGTGTCTGGAACTTTAGAGGGAGTCGGTGCTGGGAGATAATTCAGTAGCTGGCTCCTGGGGCATCCTGAAACTGTCTACTTATGTAGCCCAAGCTGGCCTCAAACTTACCCTCCTCCTTCCTCCACTTCTCGAGAGCTGGCATCTCCATGCCTTGCCTTTGGTATACTTTTTCTACAGAGCTGAACAGTAATAGCACAGTCCCTGTGGCAAGGACATGACCATGCAACTGTGACACAGGAGCAGGCAGTATGTTCATGAATGAGTAAGCAGTGTTCCAATAAAACTATTTACCCAAACAAGCAGGGAGCCACATTTGGCAGCAGGTCATGGCTTGCTGATTCCTGATTTGGGTGCTACCTATTTGGTTCCTGCCCTAAACTGTCCTTGTCTGCTCAGACCCCTTTAGACTAAAGCACAATATAACCCCAAGCCATACTAGCAATAAGAAGTCATTCGTTTCCAAAGGGGTATTTACAGTGAATCTCCTAGGCCAAGATTCAAAGTCAGAAAAGTGACAAATAGCTTTGTGAGACCAACAGTCAGTCCTCACAACTACAGTGGCTTACCTAAAAATGACTTAGCCACTGCGTGCAGGGCCTGGGTCGGCCAGGGCATGAACCAGTCGATACCAGTGTTGTTCACCAAACCTTGAAGAGAGAGAGAGGAAAGACCATCGCTTTGCAAACAGTCTTCGGTGTCCGCCAAAATTGTGGCTTGGCTAAGGACACTGAAGTCTGACTCATCTTTAGCAGCTTGTCACTCTATGCTGGGAGAGAGCAGAGCCACCCCTCCATATACCATGCACCCACTTATGCTAAGAGGAAGCTACCTATGACTTAGTGAGGGATCAGAGAGGTATGCCCATAGCACAGAGCCAACTTTCAAACTAATGCTGCATCCTGTGTGGCTCTGTCAGTGGAAGTCTGGAAGTGATGGGTCCCCAGCACACACACTATCCTGAAGTTGGAGCGAAGGATGTACAGGCTCTACTCCAAGGTACCTGGGAAATTCCTGCACCGGGTCCTCAGAGTGTCCCCCACTGGTGACATCCCCAGGACAATGTGTAGGTTATTGGCACTCTTGTTCACAAAGTACTGCCACACGGACTCCTTGGCAGGGCCCATGCCCTGCTTCAAAGCCTCCTGCCCAATCTGACTGAGGATGGTGTCCTTTTCCTCTTCCAGGAAGAGAGCAGGGATGATTCCTAGAGGACAAAGATATGGGGGAGCTGGCTGTGAGGTCTCAGGGTTCTTACCTCCCTGGGCACCAAATGAGATGATGGAACAAGGTATCATGGGAACAGCAGCAAGACAGAGTGAAGGGGCAGAGCTGGGGTCCAGACTCGGGGTGACCCAGTTGCTCTCAAACAAAGCAGACTCAGTCTGTAGGATGGGTGGTGAGTGCCTCCTACTTATCCTGGAGAGTGTGCTGGGCACCAAAGCCCATAGTACATTTGAATCCCACATGCAGGCAAAACATGAATACATGTAAAATAAATAATAAATTATTAAATTAAACTTGCCACAACTTAGACTCATGTGGGAAGAGTCTCAACTGAATAATTGTCTTTATCAGATTCGTCTGTGGGTCTGTCTGGGGTGGGGGTAATCGACGTAGGATGGCTCAGCCCATGTGGGCAGCACCATTCCCTAGGCAGGGGTTTGGAACTATTTGGGAGAGGTGAAAGCCAGAGGCAGCAAGCAAGTAGCATAGGTGCATGCATTTCCTGTACTAGACTGTGGATAAGGTATGACCAGCCATCTCCAGCTCCAGTCTCAGTAACTTCCCTGCAATAATAGGCTGACCTAGAATTGTAAGTCAAATAAGTCATTCTTCCCCAATGCTGCTTTTTCGGTCAAGGTATTTGTCACAGCAACAGAAATAAAGAGAGACAATCCAGCATCTAGTGACCAGCCAGAGATGTGATGAAACATCTTACAGGGCCCTGAGCAGTCCCATAGTGAAGAACTGCCAAGCCCCAAATGCTGGACAGCAAGAACCACACGAATGCCTTCAGATGGTGTGACCCCTGATGAGTACCTGAGGGGTTCCTGTGCAGAGGAGTTGACACTGAAGCCTAGGCTGCCCACCCTCAAAAGGCCCCCACTTCTCTTTGATGCAGACCCCATGGGCAGCCAGAGAGACAGCTTAAAAGTCCAGATCTAGACCATGTCAGTGCACTGAGAATGGAGTCTCATCTGACCCACAAGGCCCCACATCCGGGGGTCTCCACTCTTCACAGATGGAGCCACTCCTGCCTCCAGACCTTTCCTGCCATGATGAACCAAACCCTCTGGTACCATGAACCAAACAAGGCCCTCTTCCCAGAAGCTGCTCCTGACGGGCATGTCACAAGGATGAGAAAAGTAATGAATATAAGTGCCCCCATGAATGTCCACAGGAGGGCTAAGTGCTGTGTCTTGGATGGACATACAACCTGTCAGGCCCATCCCACTGCTGCAGTGAGGAGGCTGTGGGATGTTCCTGCCATAGTTCCCACAGCATCTGCCACCCTCAGTGCTAGAGCAGCAGGCTGGGTGGGTGGCCAGGTGGCCAGCCAGTACCTGAGGTCAGCATATTGTTAATAAGTTCCAGGAAGCCCTCCTCAGCCACGTGTGCATCTGTGAACAGGAAGATCATCATCTTGTTCTCCAGCCCCAACTTCAGGTACAGGCTCTTCAGATCTTCCCTGAAGTTGGTCTCCGAATAGCCCCGGCTCAGCAGGATCTCAAACACCTGGGGATACAGGTGGCAGAGTCACCAGGGTCACCTTGGCATCCAGCTGGCTTGTAGTGAGGCAATGGAAAGATCTGGGAGCACTAAGCAATTGGATGAGTTTGCACATCCACAGACATCCCTCAGGCGGTGACCTGAGGGATGCAGGGTGGGGAGGCCAGCTGCCTGGGCCAGCCTCATGAAATGCCCTGGAGTCAGCACAGGAGGCAGAGCTGTGGAACTGACTTTTGTCAAAGCTTGACAAGTGTTCTGCATGTGCACACATGTGTCAGGGTGTGAGTGTGCAAGGAACAAGCTCCAAAAAGGAGCATGTGGGTCTGGAGAGAGGAAAGCAAGGAGAGGACTCAGAGACCTGAGTCATGGAGACCTGGGAAGGAAGGAAGGGCACCTGGAGCAGTAGGGCAGCAAGTAGGTGATGGTCACATGACCTTTGACTAGACCAAAGAGCACCCAGTGCACTTAAATTGTGAATTGTATCATCTTGTATCATATCTAAATAAAGCTGTACTATCTCTAAATTATATATATATATATACCTATTTTTATTTATGTGTCTGTGCTTGATTATATATCACATGCATGCAAGTGCCCACTGAAGTAAGAAGAAGGAGGATGGCAGATTTCCTGGAGTTCCTTTGTGTGCCTTGACTTAGATGCTGGGAACCAAACCCTCTGTAAAAGCTGCAAGCACTCATAATCGCTAAGTCATCTCTCCAGCCCAAAAAAAGTTGTTTTAAAGAGAGAGAGAGAGAGAGAGAGAGAGAGAGAGAGAGAGAGAGATGCTGGTAGTACAGATCTTTAATCCCAGCACTCGGGAGGCAGAAGCAGGAGGATTTCTGTAAGATCAAGGTTAACCTGGTCTACATAGTGAGTTCCAGGCTGTCTAAGGCTACAAGGAGACCCTGTCTCAAAAAAATAAAAATAAATTGAAAAGGTAATAAAAAGAGACTCTAAGGTTGGCCATATGCAGGTAGGCATGCCAGCAATGGCCACAGAGGCTCCACTGAGATTTGGTGAAGGCCCCTCCAGATGCATGCACTTCCCTATCACAAGTACTGCTTGTGTCTGGCTTTAACTTGAGTTCTCAAACCACTGCAGGTTAGACACCTCATAGGATTCACCTCATAGCCAGCTGTGAAGGCTGCCAGTCTGGACAGAGACTGCTTCCCTGAACCTCCGACGCCCACCAACAGTGCATGGCCACGGTCCATGCGTATGATGCGGTGCACACGGGTCAGGTGCTCCAGAGCGTCGTCGAAGAGGACCAAGTTCATCCTGGTGTTGGTCTCATTATACTCCTCAAGAATTTCCTGAGTGAAAAAGATAAGCACCACCACATTTTAAAACACTCTCCTTTGCTTCAGGAAAGGTAAAAGAGAGAGAGGAGCTGACTTTCCTGACAGACTTGTGGGGCTGAATCTCACTTAACAAGTGAGATTTCAGTCTTCTGGGTGTTGACTGGCCAGCCATGAGACACAGCAGATTACCAGTGAACCACTCCGGGGGACCTCAGAATATTACAGCTGGGATGGATGGCAGGGATAGATGGATGCAGGGACATGAGGCATGGGCAGGTCTGTGTGGAGGATGGTGCTGCAGGAGGTGGGGCCACTGAGGGGAGTGAGGTGGGACTGTAAGAAGGTATGGTGAAGGTGGGGAGGTCCACACCTCAAACAGCGCCTTGGCAGCCTCATAGTCCTGGATATCTTCATAAACGCGGGGTTCTCCTTCGTGCAGAGCCATCCGGAAGTCCCCAAACAGAATAGGATCCCTCATGATTGAGTCAAAGTCATCAGCGAAATGTTCTCTCACCAAGTTGCCTATGTGATCTTGCACCTTAAAATAGAAGCCCGTTAAGGCCCCAGACTCAGCAACCAGTTTGCTTATTGGCAGGGAAAGGCCATTGGCCTTTATCAGTACAATAATTTGTCTTGGACTTCCCCCGTGTCTACAGGAACTTAAACATCATCATTGTTACCTGAGGACTTACACTGCCTCTATTTTTCTAGAGCGAGCATCCTACACAAATAATACATTAATTTATTTTGGTTTTGTTTGGTTTTTTGTTGATTATTTATTTATTATTTATTTATTTATTGGTCTGGCAGAGAAGGGGTCTCTCTGTGTCAGGACTCAGGTTTGCTTTGCTTAGCAGGGGACCTGCTGGCTTCGGGGCAGAGGGTCTGATCGGCAACAGAATCATAAACTCTGGGACCAGTGTCTTCCCAACAGGACGATTTATTTTAGAATTCAGATGGTTTTTATACATCCAAGGAACTAGCAGTCACGTGGGATATGGCAGTCACATACAAAGATTTAGGGTACAAAGAAACAGGACATTTAGTCTGTTAGTTGGTGCCAGAAGGATTCTTAAACTTTTACCCAAGGTTATCAATGCCCATCCAGTAATTTATTGGCCACAGTGTTTCTTTCTTAGAGCTAAAAGCATGGTAAACTTTTAGCTTTTAGCTCAGGAGTAAACCTTTAACCTGGCCTAATCTCTTAGCCAGGGATAGCTGAGTTATTTGTTCAGGACAAGGAGATGAGCTAAGGGTTGTTGACCAAGACGCTTTCCCACAGAGCAGGGAGCCTGCACTTTTATGAATGGGCCGCTTCCTCCTGCCAGCCTAGCAGTGTTCTGCAGGACAAGGATTATCAGAGCCACTGTTTTCAGTGCCCCTCCCTTTAGCAGAGAATGCAGCCTGGACCTATAAGTTTTAGGCTCACCTCACCCTAGGGCCTGGCATCCTGGTATCCTACATCTCTATAGCCCCAGCTGGCCTGGAACTCGCTCTGTAGACCAGACTGGCTTCCAACTCAGAGATCTGCTTGCCTCTGCCTGTGCTGGGATTAAAGGCGTACACCACCATGCCTAGCTCATTTTATTTTAAAAGTACAATTATTTATGGATTAGGGCATGTGTGTGTGTGTGTGTGGAGGTCAGAGGGCAACTCTCAGGAGTCTGTTTTCTTCTACCACATGGATCCCTGGGATCAAACTCAGGTCATAAGACTTGGTATCAAGTCCTTTACCCACTGTCCTAGTTTGTTTCTCCATCGCTGTGACAAAACACTCTGACCACTACCAACTTGGGGAAGAAAGGGTTTATTCAGCTTACATCTCCCAGACCACAGTTCATCAGAGAATCCAAGGTAGGAACTCAGGGCAGGAATCCAAAGGCAGGAAATGAAGCACAGGCCACGGAGGAACACTGTTTACTGGCTTGCTCCTCTGGCCCCCTACTCAACCTGCTCTCTTATACAACATAAGCCAACCTGCCCAGGGGTGGCACCATCTACAGTGGGTTGGGCCCTCCCACATCACACCCCTCCCACATCACTCAGTAATTAAGAAGATGCCTCACAGACATGGCCACAGGCCATGGAGGCAATTCCCCAATTGAGGCTCCCTCAACCCAGATGTATCACGATGACACTAAAGCTATCCAGCACTCCCACTGAGCCACCCCCACAACTCTCATTTGTTTTACTCAGATTTATTTTTCTGCACCTGCTACAGCAGCTCCAAGTACTCACCAGCTGCTTGTCTATTTCATTGATCAGTCGGTCGTGGAAAACCCTCAAGCACTCATTTCTCCACACTCGAACCATCTGGGTTACTGTCTGGAACCTATGTGAGGGAAGAGCAGTGTGGACCACCAGGTCCTCCGGGGAGGAGTAGGCTCAGGTGGATAAGGACACATCCCTACAGGCTTCTCTGACTTTCTAACCAGGAGCTAGCAAGTTAAGCACAGAGGCCCTTCCCAACAGTACAGAATAAAAGGAATGAATGTTCCTGTGAACAGAACCAAAGCCATACCCACTTGCTAGAACGTGTGCATTTAAAAACATCAGGGCCATTCCTTTATCTGGCCCTATTTCTAAAACTTTCCCTAGTTCTTGGCAGAGTCACCACTCCAGCTGAAAGACAAGAAAAGGCCCTCTCCAGGACGGCCACTCTAAACCCTTTACAAACATTCCAGGGAAAGTGTGAGGGTGTAGGAAGCCCACACCATCAATTCCTAGTGAGAATTCATGCAATTCAACTTGCTGATCCACAGAGACTGACGCAGTCATTTGTAGAAAGAAGTCTAGCATTCATGAAAACATTCCTGTAACTTCTGTATGAAGTCCTAGTTACTTTCTGAGCTCTGCAATGATGTCTCTTGAAGGCACACACCCTCTATCCAACTGGAAATACTGTGGTCAATGAGCAACAGGCTGCATGCAGATCCAACCTCAGAGCTGAGTGCTTGAGGCCATGAAAGTCATCTCACCCTAGGCACAGAGACACCGGCCCACACCTCGACTGCAGCTGAAACCCACCACCTTGAAGAAAATCCACCCTTGCCCTAAGGATTTATGTCTTTTTCCAACTCAACGCAGTCAAGAGCACTGAGTGAAGAATGACACATGGACCCATACAACTCACTGATCAGTCCTAAGGAAGCCTCCACACCTGCAGGGAATATTCGAGTACAAAACAAAAACTCACCGCTTTGGGTTAGTGAGGACAAGGCCATTAAAAACTCTCGAGAGGTCTCGAAGGTTGAAGATGTAGTGAAACTTTGAAGGGGTGGGAGGTAGATCTTGAACAATATTTTTGTACAGTATTAGCGTGCACAATGTCAACCTCCTGCTCAAGGCCCCAATGCTCTCATTAAAGGTCTAAAAAATGAAAAGACACACACACACACACACACACACACACACACACAGACTGTCAATAGGAGCATGGATAAACACAATGCAGTATTTTCAGATGACAGAGTAATATTTGGTCAGGAGAAGACAAAGCACTGACACACGTTTGAATCTGAAAAGCATGATGTTGAGTGACAGAAACCAGACTCAAGCTTAGTGCCTTAGTCCACTGATACGAAATACCAGGAAGACCCACAGAGACAGGCAGGTTAGTGGCTTCCAGACAAGGTGGGGGTAGGTGGGTAGAGAGGGACTGTAATGGGTACAGGTGTCCTTTGCAATAAAAAAAATGTTCTGTGTTTGACAGTGAGAATGGTTAGCCAACAACACTGAATTGATTTAATGTCTCTGAACTGAATGTGTTAAAATGGTTAAAATAATGAATTTTGCCGGGCGTGGTGGTGCACACCTATATTTCCAGCACTCAGGAAGCAGAGGCAGGTGGATCTCTGTGAGTTCAAGGCCAGCCTGGTCTACATAGTGAGTTCCAGGACAGCTGGGGCTACAGAGAGACCCTGTCTTAAAAAGACCAAAAAAATTTTATATTATGTGAATTTTACATTTGTGTGTGTGAACGAGCACATATGTGTGCATGTGCCTACATCCACGTGTATGCATGCTGAGGCCAGAGGAGGATGTCAGGTGCCCTGTTCAATCACTCTCCTAATTCTCTTGAGACAGGGTCTCTTTATTGGACCTGGGGATCCAGCAAGCCCTGGAAATCCTCCTGTCTCTGCTCCCCCCCCCCCACAGCACTAGGGCTATAGACATGCTTGGTCACACCCTGCTTTTTATGTGGGAACTAGGGATTAGAACTCAGGTCTTCATGCTTACATAGCAAGCTCTCTTACCCACTGAGGCATCTCCCTGGCCCTGAACATTACTTTCCTAAAACGGGCACAAGGAAAGCAATAAAGAAATCTAAGCAGCCCACTGTCTGACCTGCTCTGACCATCCTGCTGGAATGTCCCACCCTTTGACTTTGCAGTATGATGCTGTTATTGACACACATGTTGGGCTACATTCATAGCTATACTGGGACAAATGTGGTCCAAGATTCAGCTTGGACATGCCTGCCAGATTTTCACTGACAAGTCAATATGACATGAAACCAAAGACTCAAACCAGCCCCCACTTTGAGGGGTTTTTTTTCTGAAACAGGGTCTCCCTGTAGCCCCAGCTGGCCTGGAACCCACTATATAGACCAGGGTGGCCTCAAACTCACAGAGATCCAGCTGCCTCTGCCTCCCAAGGGCTAGGATCAAAGGTGTGTGCCACCACTCCTGCCCTGAGGGTTTTTTTTTCTGAAACAGGGTCTCCCTGTAGCCCCAGCTGGCCTGGAACCCACTATATAGACCAGGGTGGCCTCAAACTCACAGAGATCCAGCTGCCTCTGCCTCCCAAGTGCTAGGATCAAAGGCGTGTGCCACCACTCCTGCCCTGAGGGTTTTTTTTTTTATTATATTTTATCTTGTAAATCAGGGTCTTACTATATGGCCTAGGCTATCCTTAAACTAGTGATCATCCTGCCTCAGCCTCCCAAATACTGAGATACAGATGTAATAACACTATGCCTGGCTTTTTCTTGAGTTTCACTGAAAGCTTCAGCAAGGCTCACAGTTCCTGCTCCTCCACCTGGCCCTCACAGAGACCCTCCCTGCCTGACCAAAGCCTTGGAGTGTACAAGCTCCACTCCAGTGTCAATAAACCAGCCCCGCCTATACATACTCCCACCCAACATGATGTCCCCCATTCAGACTTGTAGTTAAAGCCAAGTTACCAAGGTGTGGCCCCTTAAGATGGAGAAGTAGATCAAGCACAGAGACTCCTCTGATGGGAATGGAATGTTGAAGACGCTGAACAGTGAGAGGAACCTGGGATCCACTTCATTGCGGCCCCCTCCAGCCTTCCCCATGGCAGCAATGAAACCCAGGTCTCGAATGCTCTTACAATTGAGCTCCTTCCCACGGTCATATAAGAAACCTTTATCCAGGAGCAGTTTCAGCAAAGCAATGGGCTGCTGGGTGCCATACTCATCAACCTTGGGGTTTTGTAGAGGAAAGAGAGAATAGCAGTATCAAAACACAATGTTGGCAAGCTGTGCTGACCTCAAAAGCCCACCTCTCTTGGGTTGGCCTCATGGGGATTCTTGGAGTCTACAATTAATCTATTCACTTCTGATGGTCAAAGTCTGTCTCCCTCACTAGACTGTGCTCCACAAAGGCAGAAACTGCTGAAGCCCAAACACTGCACAATGCTAGTACCCCTGGGAATAGCCCAGAAAAGGGGATAGATGGAAGGATGGATGGTGGATGGACAGGTGAATGGATGGATGGTGAGGTATGATAGACAGATGGACACATGGATGGGTAGACGGATGGGCAGAAGGGTGGATGGACAGGTAGATAGTTCGGCAGATACGTGGATTAATAAACAGACTAACAAATGAGCAGATGACTACATATATGAAAGGATGCTTTTATGTAGTTATTCCCTTCCATTCGCAACAGTCTGTCTTGAAGGGAGGAGGGAGACACTGAAGACTCAAGAAGCCAAAGAAACTGACCAGGCTCAGGAATTTCAGAAAATGATGAGATTTATACAAGATTCCTCCACAAGGTTATAAAAACAGGAAAGAATTGCTGGGGAGAGGAGACTCTTCTGGGTAATGTAATAACCCAATAAACTCATTGGTTCACAGGCTATACTTGGGTGGAATCCTTTCTTTGGTCTGTTGTCAATGCTTTATGAGTGTGTGGGGGGGATAGGCATTTGTCCACATTTCCTCAGGAAAAGTCATACAATGGATGGCTAAAAGGAGATGTATGGACAGACAGATAGATGGATGCAGATGAATGATGGATGGGTGGAGATGGATGGATGATGGATGAGTAGAGATGATGGAAGGATTAATGGAGAAGGATGATGGATGGATGAGGATGGATGATGGATAGAAATGAATGATGAATGGATGGAGATGGATGGATGATAGATGAACAGATAGATGGAAGATGGATAATGATGATGAATGAATGGATACGACGGATGGAGAACGACAGATGGATGGATAGAGATGGATGACTGAGAGATGGAAGTCTACAGATACCTTAACATATGGATGGATAAATACACAGATAATAATAGCTGAATAGATAGAATAGTAGATACATAGACAGGTACATAGGTGGATGATTGAATAAATGGATGATCAGATTGGGATGTGGATATATGGATCCCTCCTTTATAGTATGCTAAAAAAAACTTTCCACCTGTCAGGCTCTAACTCCAGCACCATACTCAGAATGCCTGGGGAGGTGTCTGCCCTTCTGCCTCCCTAGTAGGTGGGCTGAGAACAGAGGTGTCACCTAGGGCAGACAGTTCATTATGAAAGCCCTTCTTCAGAAGCTTGCTAGTGGCTGCTTTCCTTCTTGTACAGGAAATCACAACACACAGTGGGCAGGGATGCGGGTGAGAGATGCACTCAGGGCCTACCGCCCTTGGCTGGATCCCATGCCATGCAGAATTAAAGGCATGTGCTCTCACAGTCTCCCTGCATGCACATACAGCTCAAAGTGCCCACCTTCCAGATCCATCCCACCTAAAAAGCCACACACAGCCCTGAAGCCATGTCCATCTCCAAAGCCACTCCCACCTTCGGCATGTTCATGTCATCCATGAACACCAGCAGGCGCTTCCCCATGGGTGGCCCATATGTGTCTTTTGTTCGCTTCTCCACGTTTGCTTCTAAATTTCGTTGGATGTCCAGGGATGTGGTGCGTGAGGAGAAACCGACCATCAACACAATCTGCAACAGAAGAGAGGGCTCAAAGCCCAGCCTTTCTCAAGGAAGTGTGAGACTGCAAACTACCATCAATTTTGTGAAGTAACTGGTTTCTGAAATGATGTTTCTGGAACCCGACATGGGTCTGTGCTTTGCCATTTTTAAGAGCTAAATCTAGACGTCCTCTTTCCTCCTGGCAGATAGCATGTTACCACACATGGGCTTTGAAGCAATGTGGGCTCCAAAGCTCTGTGTCCCCAGCCAGATTGTCTTGAAATCAGAGCAGCTGTAATTCCCTGTGGGAGACCCTCACAATGCTGGACCCACCAACATTCCCTTGTTGAAAGGGAGGAGGAGTAGTGAGGCTTGGGAAGCCCTCTCTTCAGGTTATATATCAGTTAACAACTGTCCGCAAGTCACCCCACTTCTGTAAGTAATCCCAATTAAACTCATTTGGTTCACCCAAACTGGACTTGCATGGATTCGTTTCTTTGTCTATCCTCATCCTTTCTATCTGGGTGATTAGGAATAGACTTCCAGGAAAAGTCACAACAATGTAATAGGAGAAAATGGATCTGGGGTCATGGCTCTGTGTTGTTCTACCTGGTTGGCCTCCAAAATGTGAACTGTCTAACCTTTCACACCTGGGAGGTTGGTTTTAATAACATCTGCTGGACCACTCATGTGAGATGCAATGTGCGGAGGTGTTTTAAACATAAATTGCTATCAAGGCAGCTGCACCTTAACAAAATGTCAAAGAGAATGTGAACAGTCAGAGGCTCCGTCTTGGACCTAGCTGCTAGAAAGGAAGCTGTCTACACATGACCTCCTGGGCAGAGGCCCCTCTCAACTGCCTTTCAAGGAACCATGATTGCACACCAAAGTGGGATTCTCACACTCCACCATGCACCAGGACCAGCCGGAATGCTGGTCCCTGCCCAGATCAGCTGGGTTCTGGTTAGATTGAACTGTCAGTCTTATACAACCTAGAATCACCTGGGAAGAGTCTTAACAAGGAATTTTCTAGATCAGGTTAGCTTGATCTACGGGGAATTGTCTTATTAATTGATGGAGGTGTACGTGGCCCCCTGCACCCTCATCCTCCCTGTTTTCCTCCTGCCTGGGAGTCCCTGCAGGGCTGATCTGAGGGGCTGCTTTTGAGCCGAGGTCTGTCTTGTGGTGGCAGCTGGCCCAGGCCCTGTTCATAGCAGACTCTCCCGCATTTGACAAGTGGGAGGAGGAAGAAAACACAAAGTTCTAGAAACCATAAAAGGACAACAGAGAATGGGACAGCCAATCTCTGTGATGGTCTTCTACCACCCTCAACCCCAGTGCTCATGCCCCCACATGTTCCCTCACATGGCAAGTAAAGGGGACACATGCAGGATGGCAGAGTGACAGTAAGTAGCCTGCAAGGCTGATCACAAGCAGCACAGTGGCTGCTGCCCTGTTGTCTGTCCACTGTGGAGGAAGCCAGCTGCCCTGCAATGGCATTGCTGTGGATACGGCTCCAGTCTGAGTGTTGGAGACAGTCTCAATTTCATGTTAGTGGGCCTTGGAGGCAGGACCTGGGGGAGGCAGAGACTGGATTGAAAGGGCTTTGTCCTCAAGAAGGGATAAAGCCATTTGTAGATAAACAGACTTGTGGCTTCATCAAGAAAGCAGCCTTTTCTTTCTTATGAAAGTGGACTTTCTCTGGCAAGCTTGCTCTGCCTCCAATGTGATGCTGTCTGCCATGTTACAATACAGCAAGAAGGCCATCAGAGACTAGCACTGTGCACTTGGATTTTCAGCCCCCAGAGTCAAATAAACTTCCACTCTTTGTAATATACCTGGTCTCGGGTCTTTTGTTATAGCAATGACCTAAGACAGGCACACTCAAGCATTCCTCAGAGAGGTTCACTCAGTGGAGATCACAAAACGGCATCTTGAGAGAGAGTCTTCCAGCCTTGACCAGACCTTGAGATGAACACAGCCCCGGCAAATACTTGACTATAGTCTTGTGAGAGAACCTGAACTTGAGTCACCCAGCAGAGCCACATCAGATTCCTGACTGACCCATGGAAACTGAGAGGTGATGTGCTTGTGGTATTCAGCCATGGGGTAACTTACTATGAAGCAAATGATAACACATACAAATGAACACTTACGTTAGTCTCTTCGTTCAGATTTTTTAGGAAGTTCTGGGTAGTGGCTGTCTTGGAAGTGCCAGATTCTCCCACAAAGAGAACAGGCTGTTTGATTTTAATCATTTGCTCCAGGATCCAGGTAGAGCGGGTTGTATCCACCGTGTGCACTGAAAGAAACAAGAACTCAAGTATCCCTGGGACTCCAAGTTAGGAGAGCATTTGGCAATCTGGTGTTGACAGAGTCCCATGAATCCTATAAGAAGCAACAAGAGCTGAGCTATGGGGGCTGCAGAGATGTCTCAGTAAGAACCTTGCTCTGCAAACATGAGGACCTGAGTTCAAATCCCTAGTACCCATGTTAAATTTGCCTGTGCCTGTAACCCCAGCATGAGCACATAAAGCTGCATACTTATGTGCATGCAGCATACAATACATACATACAACATAGACACAGATTTCTTTTTGGAGACAGGGTCTCCCTATAAGCCCCAACTGGCTAGAATTCACTATATCGTAGACCAGACTGGCCTTGATTTCACAGAGATCCATCTGCTCTGCCTCCCAAATACTGGGATTAAAAGTGCACCACCATACCAGGGGTAGATTTTTTTTTTTTTTAATTTCATGTGTATTATGCCTGCATGTGTAAGTGCACCTGTGTCATGCAATGCCGGCAGAGGACAGAAGAGGGACACACATCCCCTAGAACTAGAGCTATAGACAGTTGTTAGCTGCCATGTGGGTGCTGGGATTCAAACCCAGGCCTTCTGCAAGAGCAGCCACTTCTCTTAACCACTGAGCCATCTCTCCAGTCCCCAATTTTTTTATTTTATTTTAATTTTTTAAATTTTATTTATTATTTTTATTTTATGTGTATGAGTGTATTGCCTGCATGTATGTGAGTGCACCCATGTTGTGCAATGCTGCAGAGGTCAGAAGAGGGCTTCTGATTCTCTTGGGACTGGAGTTAAGGATGGTTCGTAACCACCACGTGGGTGCTGGGAATCGAGCCTGGGTCCTCTGTAAGAGCAGTCAGTGCTCTTAACCACTGAGCCATCTCTCAAGCCCCAATTTTTAAAAATTTTTTTGTGTCTTTTTTTGAGACAGGGTCTCCTTGTAGCCCCAGCTGTTCTGGTACTCACTATGTAGATCAGGCTGGCCTCAAACTCACAAAGATCTGCCTGCCTCTGCCTCCCAAGTGTGCGATTAAAGGCATGCGCCACCACGCCCAGTGATTTTCTTATTTTTTAAACTGAGTTCTGGCCTCAAAAGTGTACAGTACATGTGGGTAAGAACTCCTTCTAAATACAGTCTCTTTTCCCCAGACATTTTGCCTTTCTTTAAAAAAAAATGTATGGGGCTGGAGAGATGGCTTAGCAGTTAAGAGCATTGGCTGCTCTTGCAGAATATTTTATTTATTATTTTATTTTATGTGTATGAGTGCATTGCCTACATGTATGTAAGTGAATCTGTGTCAATGCAGTGCCCACAGAGGTCAGAAGAGGGCATTGGATCCCCTGGAACTGGAGTTATAAACCGTTGTTAGCTGCCGTATGGGTTCTGGGAACCAAACTCAGGTCCTCTGCAAGATCGGCCAGTGCTCTTAACCGCTGAGCCATCTTTCCAGCCCTCCTCCACCCCAGCCATTATTTCTATGGCTTTACTGAGCTGTACCATTCAACCATTCTAAGTGTGCAACTGATACATTTCCTCGGCAGTATGATGGTGGCAATGGCCTAGGCTTCCAGAACTCCACTCTCTGTACTCAATCTGATCTGCACTCAGTGTGAAAACTCATCTCCTTACTGCTCACACCATCCATGCCCTGCAGGGCCTGATTTCCTGATCTCTGTGAAGATTTCAGTCCCAGTGGGATCCTCAGAAAATTCAGGCACCTCACTTTATACCCAAACCAGACACACTTGCTACTGAGTTATTCAGCACTGTGAATCAAGACTCTGATGGAAATACCCATGGAATATGACTTTCCAACACTATGCCCACATCAGAATGCTGCCTGGTTCATTGCTGAAGCTGCCCTCAAATTCTTCCTGTGTCCAGCCAGCTCTGGGTAGGAGAACACCCAGGGAAGTGTGAGAATAAAGAGCAGTCCACTCCGCCTCCACTGTGGCCTTCAAGGAAAACCCAAGGTCACAGCCACAGCTTAAGGACGGACCCCAAGGGATGCCTGTGAGGAGGAGCATGGGTGGGACCAGCTCCACCCCACACTCAGCACACCAAGAAGCCAAGGCAGCGCTCACACACCTAGTATGTCGATGAACTTCTTTGTGTGGTCATGAATATACTCCGGAACTAGTTTACTCCATGGGATCCACTGGTTCTGTTTCGGCTCAAAATGAAAGTCGAACAAGGTGGGAAGATGTCCTGAAAGATAATGGCCCATGTTGCAAAGGATGGGTTCTCACACATCTGAATGAGCTAATGATGCCTGTTCACCTCAAAGCTACACTGAGTGTTTACCTGCTACTCCTTCATAGGACAGGTACTTACTGACCTGCCCTCTCCTTAGATTCTGAGAAGTCTCAACCAGTACAACCAGTCTGTGGATACCTCCCTAGTCATCCCTGGGGGCACAACAGTAGAGCAGGGAGCCATGTCACTATCCTTACAGTTGTTGCTGGGCTGGGCAAGGGTAGATAGAGACAAACAGATGATTTTGAGGCAGATGCTAAGTTCTAAGACTGGAGAAATACAAGCATGCTTCAATCCTTAACCCTTGAGGGCATCTGATCAGGGCAGAGCAAAGTCAGAGAAGCATGAGATAGTTCTAGAACTGGGGCCCTGCCCATAATTACCACCCCTCCCCCACACCCCTTTCTCATGGTCACCACTCACAGAGGTATCCAGCAGGTCCATCTGTGGGACAAACCTCTTCTCCAAGATGGCCACTCTCAGGCCCCACCTGTGTGTAGTTCCTGGAGCATGCACAATTTCATGCAAAACTTTAAACCCTCAGTATGATGGTTTCCTGTGAGTAAGCTGTAATTTGTACTAGCTGGTCTATGAGTGGGACAGGGGAGCTTAAAGGAGAAGAAAGAGGAAGCCAAGAGTATGTGGAGTCTGAAGACCTTAGCCAAAGTGAGAGGACAAGCCCTGAAGTCTGCCAGAAGCACAACCTCCTCCAGCAACAGCACCTGAAGGGGTTGGCCTGCTGGAGCAGTCAATGCACTCACTGAGTGTACACAATGCTTTGGCCTCAGGGCTGTACCACTGAAGCCAACAGGCTGGAAACTCACAAGGCAGAAACAAGGAAAAGCAAATTTGCATCTTTTGCAAACCTGCACCAAAGAACTGATACTTCCTACCTGGTAATTCTCCAGGGTGGGCCCAACCCCTCTCGGAGTCCACTGTGGGCAGAGATGCAAGGCGTTTAATGTACTTGTCAAACTTGATCCTTCCGGCATCCAGCAGGGAGGCACCCAGTGAGCAATAGAGAGCCTCTAGGAAGAAGCACTCCAGCAGGTCAGGGTCCTTAACTTCTCCTTCCAGCAGTGAGTCCAGCATCTTGGTTAACTGGATCACCTGGTCACAGGAGAACACCTGTTTCAGCCCATCTCTTCTACCCCTATGAGGCTATCCTGTTCTGAGTCCTGGGGTCCCATATCCCACAGCAATGGGAACTACAGCTGCCATATGGTTCAGGCAGATTGAGTCCAGCACCTTGGGGTCACAATAATACCTCCTGTTACTCACCCATCAGGCATCTCTGTTCCCTTCTGATCCCTGTGGATCCATCTCTAGGAAGGTCTCCTCTACCCTTAGAAGTGACAAATTCTTACCATATTGAGGTCTGTCTGAGGAACAATGGTCTTCAGCCGCTCTCCTTGTCTACCATCTATTACCCCTTCCACTATCATGTTGATAAGAGGGGGCACATATTTCTCAAAGAGGGTATCCAAAACCTTCTGTTCCACCTAGGAAGAAGAACAACTCCTTAGCATTTTCAAGGGTTGCTTTACATGGAAGCTGTTTTCTTGTCTCAAGAAGATCCAGAAACAGCTATGAATGACAGCTTCTGTAGGTGGGGAAGCAATAGAGAGGCTTGTCCTCTACCCTATACTCATTTCACAATGTTGCCGTGATGTACCCACAGTTGGGAGTGACAAGGAGATAATAGGTCCCATTTGACAGAAAGGGAGCTGATGGTCTTACAGTTCAAGTAACACAATCAATCGTTCAGCAGAGTTTGAGGTATTGGAAGTGGCACTGGAGAGATGGCTCGGAGTTTAAGAGTGTTTGCAGCTCTTCCAGAGGACACAAGTTTTGTTCCCAGCACCCACATCAGGCATCTCACAACCACCTGCAACTCCAGCTCCAGGGGTATCTGATACCCTCTTCTGGCTTCTAAGGGCGCCTACACACACACACACACACACACACACACACACACACACACACACGATAAAGGGGATAGAATTAAAAATAAAAGAAATTAGGACCAGAGAGATGGTCCAGTGGTTAAGTACTGGCTACTCTTTTCCCAGCACCCATATGGCAGCTAACAACCATCCATCACTCCAGTTCCAGGAGATAGGATGCTCTCTTCTTGTCTTCTTGGGTATTGCACATATGGGGGCACTTATGTATATGCAGGCAGCACACATACTTAAAAATAAAATTGCCAGGTGTGGTGGCACACATCTTTAGTCCCAGCACTCGGGAGGCAGAGGCAGGCGGATCATTGTGAATTCAAGGCCAGCCTGGTCTACATAGTGAGGTCAGGTCAGCTGGGACTACAGAGAGACCCTGTCTCAAAAAGACCAAAAAAAAAAAAAGAAAGCTCCCTGTAAGGTGTTTGGAATCACATTATCCATCATTCCAGAGACTTAGAAGCAAGCACATGTCTGTGAGATTGAGGCCAGCCTAGTGGCCAGCCTGGTCAAGGTCTAGGCCAGCTAGGGCTACAGGGAGACTGTCTCAAAGAGTAAATAAATAAATGAATGAATGAATGAACTAATTAACTAATTAAAATGAAATAAATAAAATCTTTAAAAAGTAATAAAATAAGCCAGGCACTTGGGAGGCAGAAGCAGGCGGATCTCTGTGAGTTCAAGGCCAGCCTGGTCTACATAGTGAGTTCCAGGACAGCTGGGGCTACAGGGAGAGACTGTCTTAAAAAGACCAAAAAAATAAAATAAAAAAAATAAAGTAAGGGAGGTTCCCACTACCCACCATGGGTTGATGCCCACCGGGACTCATGGGTCATTAGGCAACACTCCTCATGTAACATTGCTTCCAACAGCTCTGCCATGTTTCCCCAGGCCTTCCCTTCTCTGGGCTAATGATGACCAAGTTTCCAACTTTCAACAGTCAGGTGGCCCTCTAGAGTGGTCCAAGCCACCTGTGAAAATGCAGTCATGGTGTCCTGGGTATGACTGGGGACACAACCCACACTCGACTGTCACTTCATTCACCCTTTAATGAAGCCTGCTCTTAAGACACTCTGAGCAGTCTGATGATCAGCTGAAGCCAAGGGGTTTCAGCTACATTGGTAAGCTGGGTTCTTTGCACACAGCAATCATCCAACTGACCAAAGACACAGAACTGGGCAATCCACCTCTCCAGAACTGGGCATGTATGAATTGGGTTGCATGTTATAACCCAGAAGCCACCTGGTTTTGTAAATAAATGTCTGCCTCTCAATCACCTTTTGTCTCTGGCTGTGTTCTAACCCTGGCAGCAAAATTTGAGGAGGTGCAAAAGAAACAGTTTCGCTCACCCAACCAAGAATATTTCCTATCAACCTGTTTGTAGACAGTTTGTTGATTCCTGGCCTATGTCGTCAAAATCATCACCTATCTCACCAGTGTGCATGATTAAAAGTCTCTTGTGAGGGTGTCTGCTAGGTTGACATCTGATTTGTGTTCAAGGACTCAAGCAGGTTAAGGGTCACAGCCCTCCTCCACAAGCATCCCCCTGGACAGCCAATGCACCTGATAGCAGTCAGGTTATTTCAGAAATAATTCTCACCTTTTGCATCTGTTGCACCCATTTTTTCCAGTATGGTTGGTATTTCAAGTTTTTAGGGTCCACATAAACCATTCCACATCGAGACACAGTCGCAGGAGAGGCATACTGTAAGTCTCCAACCTGCAGAAAAGAAGTGAACCTTTCAACCCCAGCTGCTAACAGCAGGGCTGCATGCCGGGGGCCTTTCCTCTGCCCAGCCAGTCTCAACATAGCATTCATGAAGTTTTTTGAACACATAGGCTTATGATAAGATTAGCTATGTTTGCTGTAACACCTTTTCACTGCTATAAAACGTTAAAATAAGCTTGTTGTTGACTACTGAGAAAAGTCTAGAAATTATAAAGAAGAAAATAAGTTTTCAAAATTCTATAATCTACAAATACTGTGTTTTCTCATTGTTGTTGCTTTTTTTCAGTTTTATAAGACAGGGTCTCATGTAGCCCAGGCTGGCCTCTAACTCACTATGTAGTAGATGATAACCTTGAACTCTGATCCTCCTGCCTTTACCTCCCAAGTACTTAGATGACAGGTGATAGGCATGTACCACTGTGCCTAGTTGATTCAATGTTAGGGATCAAACTCAGGACCTCACGAATGCTAGGCAAGCAGTCTACTGATTGAGCTTACAGCCTCAGCTTGCAAATATTGCTTTAGAGTACTTTCCTCTCAGACCTTTGCTCTGTTGTTTTGTAACATGGTTGATATCAGGTTGTGTATAACTTAGAAGTACAAAGTTAAACCAGCAATACTGACAAATCCTCTCTCGTCATACAAGACAGTTTCATCAGTCAACTAGATAACAATATTCACAAACGCTAAAGCACCAATGAATTCCACAGGCTGAGACAGGAACAATATTATTATCAACCTGGAGCTCAAAGCAAGTCTTAGGGCCTCAGCTGTGGAACAAGCAGCTGGTATTGTGCAGGAAATTGGGATGGGCTTGGAGAGTTGTCTCCACGGGAAAAAGAGGGGTCTCAATATTTGATATGATAGGAAGTTTTTTTAATTTTATTTATTATTTTTATTTTATGTGTATGAGTATATTGCCTGCATGTATGTGAGTGTACCTGTGTTGTACAATACCTGCAAGAGGTCAGAAGAAGGCATGAGATTCCCTGGAACTGGAGTTACTGATGGTTGTTAGCTGCCATGTGGGTGCTGGGAATCGAACCTGGGTCCTCTGCAAGAGCAGTCAGTGCTCTTAACCACTGAGCCATCTCTCCAGCCCCAATAAATATAATTTTAAAAACAGAGTCATACTCATAAATTTCTGAATGTTCATAATCACCTACTTAAAGAAACACTTTTAAAAATACTTTATTATTTTTATTTTATGTGTATGAGTATATTGCTTGCATGTGTGTAAGTACACCCAAATTATGCAATGCCTGAAGAGGTCAGAAGAGGGCATCACATCCCCTGGAACTGGACTTACAGACTGTTGTTGGCCACCATGTGGGTGCTAGGAATTGAACCTGGGTCCTCTGTAAGAGCAGCCAGTGCTCTTAACTGCTGAGCCATCTCTCCAGCCCCTATATTATTTTTATTTTGTGTGTATGAGTGTACTGCCTGCATGTATGTAAGTGTACCTGTGTCATGCAATGCCCATGGAGGTTAGAAGTAGGCATCCGATCCCCTGGAACTGGAGTTATGGATGGTTGTTAGTTGCCATGTGGGTGCTGGGAATCCAACCCAGGTCCTCTGCAAGAGCAGTCAGTGCTCCTAACTGCTGAGCCATCTCTCCAGTCCCTTAAAGAAACATTTTAAAAATATTTTATTTATTATTATTCTTTTATGTGTATGAGTGTATTGCCTACATATAAGTGCACCCATGTCCTGCAATGCCCATAGAGGCCAGAAGAGGGTGTTAGATCCCCTGGAACAGGAGTTACAAATGGTTGTTAGCTGCCATGTGGGTGCTGGGAATGGAACCCAGGTCCTCTGCAAGAGCAACCAGTGCTCTTGACCACTGAGCCATCTCTCCAACCCCTAAAGAAACATTTTAAATTAACTAAAAGTAAAGTTCATGTTCAAGGCTGTTTTTCAGCAGTACTTGCCTCAAAGAGCAGGGCACAGTGTGCCTGGAGCCGAATGCGCTCCCCATTGGCCAAGGTCAACAGCTTGTTGTCATCCATCACAGAATTCATATTTTCCACCCACAGAGCATCCACATCGCCATCAAACAAAATATACCTGTGGTGACCAAAGAGAGGTGAGCCAGGGATCCTAAGAGCTCCTAGCTCTGGGACTCACATAAGCTGCCCATCCCTTCTCTATGCCTCTCCCAAGACTGTGCAGTCAGAACCTTGATGGAGCACTCTCCTTGGTCCTATGTTCCAGTCATGCTGCAAAGGCTGAGTTGCTTACCAATAGTTTAGGATCTGTCTTAGTTTGTTTCTTCATTACTGTGACAAAACACTCTGACCACTACCAACTTGGGGAGGAAAGGGTTTATTTAGCTTACATCTCCTGGGTCACAGTTCATCAGGGAGCCAAAGGTAGGAACTCAGAGCAGGAACCTGGAAGCAGGAGCTGGAGCACAGGCCATGGAGGAATGCTGCTTACTG